TTTAATTTGTGTTTCCCTAAATGACTATTGATGTTGAGCATCTTTTCATGCGCTTATTCATATAACTTCTATGGTAAAATATGTTTTTTTTTCTCATTTTAAAAATTGGGTTGTTTGGCCTATTAAGTTGCAAAAATTCTTTACATATTCTAAATACAAGTATTTTGTTGGATTTATGTTTTGCTAATAGTTTCTTTGTATGTGGCTTGCCTTTTCATTTTTGTAATAGTGTCTTTTGAAGAGTATAAGTTTTTTGTTTTGATAAATCCAACTTATCAATATTTTCTTTTATACATCAGGATTTTTTGTGTTATTTAAGATATCTTTACCAAATTATAGGTTATTACAATTTTCACCCAGAAGTTTTATAATTTTACCTCTTACATTCAGGTCTTTGATTAATTTTGAGCTAATATCTATAGAGGGTGTAAGGTAAGGGGTTGTGGTTCATTTTTTGCATATGGTGTCTAATTGTTCCAGCAACATTTGTTAAGAGATTATTCTTTTTCCATCAAATTACCCTGGTACTTTTGTTAAAAAATCAATTGACCATATATGTATGGGTCTATTTCTGGAACTAATTCTATTCCATTGATTTTTATGTCTATCTTTATGCCAATCCATACTATTTTTCATTATTTGAGCTTTATACATTTTGAAATTGGGTAGTGTAAATTTTCTAACTTTGTTCTTCTTTTTTACAACCTGCTTATCAGTTTTCATAACACAGGCTGCTGGGATTTGATCAGGATTTCTTTGAAATCTATAAATCAAAACAATTGACATAGTAGCAATATTGAGTCTTTTGATCCAGGAACAAGATAATCTTTCCATTAGTTTTGGTAATTTTTAATTTCTGTCAACAATGTACTATTTTTCACTACATGCAGAAACTTTACTAGGAAAAGAAAGAGAATATAAAAAAAGAAAAACAAAAACAAAAAACCCAATAAAAACAATGAACTGTTTTTCAGTGTACATGGATTTCCCCCCCATCTTTTGTCAAATTTATACCTAAGTAATTAATACTTCTTGATGCTATTTTAAGTGGTATGTTTTAAAATTTCAACTTTTGACTGTTCATTAATATATAGAAACACAACTGATTTTTGTACATTGGTATTATATCCTGCAACTTTGCTAAACTGGCTTATTAGTTCTAGTAGCTTCAGAAGCTTTAACTTTACCAAAAATTATTATCAGTGTTATGAGAGTTCTCATTGTTCTATATCCTTGGTATATTTTCAGAGACTAATAATTTTTATTAAAAATCTTCCATAATTTGTAATTAGGTATATGAAACCATTTATTCTTATTTGCTTTTCTTTCCATATGACATATAAACAATATACTTAGTTCAAGTACCTACATATGACACTACTTCTATTTTGAGAGTTTTTAAAGAGACAATTAGAGACATTTTTCAAACCCATCTGGAGTAACCCAACTGGAGTGACTTTGATAGGTCTGTTGTTTTTTTGAACTTTTAATAGACTCATTTTATTTAGATACATTTATCTAAAAAGGAAACATTTATCATTACCATAAATGGAAAATCAGTATCACTTGCCATAAATAGAAGGTCATTGAGAAAATAAATTTGATGAAAATAAAACTGTTAATAATTAAGTAGTAGATGAATTCTGGTTTTGCTTTTTTCCGTTGCAAATTAAGTGTTAGAGAGTTGTAAGGGGCTCATATCAAATGGAGTCTTTCTTCTTAAAATAATTAGAATTAAAGTAGGATATAAAAGAATTGCTCTGTGATCAGTATTATTTAATGAACTACCCCATGTCCCATTTAAAATCATCTCATGGACACTGGAATGTGTTGTACACTTTGGGAGACACTTGTCTAAGATATTTATGATGGTTAATTTTATGTGTCAATTTGGTCAGGCTCTGGTACCCAGTTATTTGGTTAAACACTCATTCTACATGCTGCTGTGAAGGTATTTTTAAGATGTGATTTAAATTAGTAGACTTTGAGTAAAGCAGATTATTCTCCATAATGTGGGTGGGCTTCACCCAATCAGTTGGAGGTCATAAAAGAAAAGATGGAAGACCCCCAAAAGGAAGAAATTCTCTCTTTAGATTGTCTTTGGACTTAAGGCTACAATATCAACTCTTGCTGGAATTTCAAGTCTGCCAGCCTGCCGTGCAGATGGCAGGCATGCACTGGCAACTGGAGTTGCCAGTCCTCTTAAGTATGTGAGTTAATTGTTTAAAATCAATCTTACTCTCTCCATTCTATTGGTTCTTTTTTCTGGTGAACCCTGACTGTAAGATATTTGACACTATGCTAGCCACTGGTGGGGATCCGGGGCTACCTCCTCTATGCCCAGTCCCTCATTGCCTACTTTCAACCAGGTCTGCAGAGTTGATTCATCCTCCACCATATAGTTGTAGCTTTCAGTGTGATACTTTTTTTTTTTTTCTTTTTTTTTTTTTGATACAAGGTCTCTCTCTGTTACCCTGGCTAGAATGCAGTGACATCATCATAGCTCATTGCAACCTCACACTCCTGGGCTCAAGTGATCCTCTTGCCTCAGCTCCCTAAGTAGCTGGGACTACAGGTGTGGGCTACCACGCTTGGCTAATTTTTCTATATTTTTTATAGAGATGGGGTCTCAATCTTGCTTAGGCTGGTGTCAAACTCCTGACCTCAAGACATCCTCCCACTCAGCCTTCCAAAGTGCTAGAATTGCAGGTGTTAGCCACTATGGGTCAATGTGACACTTATATCTAAAATTAAAATCCATGAAAGTGAGGCTCAGTAAAAGGCAGGAGTTTTGCCTCTTAAGGTTTAAGGCATACCTTTTAGGTTTCCATTTCCTGCCTGGAAGAGGGCCACTTCCTCAAAAGGTTATTGACAAGAGGAATATTCAGACCCTTCAGGGGAGAACTCACTGGATATGAAGTCTCAGGTGAGGGCAGATGTGACAAATATTCCTCTTTCTATTTCATGTCCATGGCAGACAAAGTTAATCAATGACAGAGCTCTTTTTGACTTACTGTACATGTAGATTTAAAATCCTTATCAAGTCAAGATTTCAACAGGCTATTATTACTGATAGTAGTTATCAGAAGAAAGGAAACTTCTACTAACATATCAGGACAACCTAATTAGAATATCATAAGTAAAGCTCAATATTTAAAAAGCAGAGGCATGGGGTTGAACAGATAGCAGCAGTAGGTTTGCTTCATTATATTCATCTATCAGACCCTTACCATGCCTAGCCCAAAGCCTGACCCTCTTCCTCTCCATCTCCTGCATCTGGAAATATATCCAAAAAAATGAAAAAAAAATTGGAAGAAAATTATCTTTTAGAGGTAGATGGGCTGGAAAGACCTGAAGAGAATCTGCAGATGGAAATGTGCAGAACCACTGTTCAAAGTTAGGTGGCAAACCTAGCTCTGCCACTTATCTAGGTAAACACAGGCAAGTTACTTAATCCCTTAAGTGTGGAAATAAGCCTACCTCTCAGGTGGTTGTGAGGGTTAAATACAAAATGTTTAAGTACCTGGCACACTGCTGGCACTAAATATACAGTTCTCTTAGGTTCATGGTCTGCCTGTTCTTCCTCCTTTTGGGATGGTGGCTCCAAAACATTGGGTGCCTGGGACATGGAAGGACAGTGCTACCAGTACTCACACCCCTGGGTGCATGATGCTGTTCCATGTTAAGGTTGATTTCTTTTTTCTTTTTGGAATCTGTGCTATAAAGCTGATCATTCCAGTTATCTCTTTGGGGCATATTTAGATTGTTAGCTGCTTGTACCCTTTTTTCTCCCCTCTTTTATTTTTTTTTATTGTGGTTAAAAAACACATAAAATTTACTATCATAGCCATTTTTAAGTGTACAGCATGGTATAGTAACACTATGCACGTTATTATACAACAGATTGATATATGTCTGTTTTACATATTTATGATCTTGTTGTATTTATAAAATTCAAACTAATATTCACATTTAATTTTCAAATCTTTTAAATGTAAATAACATCATGTTTGTTTATTTCTTCACAGAAGCTAAGAGATTACCATGGAAATAAAGGTAAAGCTCTGAGCAAGATTAGACAAATGTCTACCTAAGGAGAAGTAATGAAAATTTTCTATCAGTTCATGAAAATATATGTATACCCACCAAGATCTTATATAATTTTAATGTGATATATATATAAACTACCAAAATATCAGCAGCCCGTTCTCAACTTCTCCTTCTTTTAATCACTTCCTAGATGATTACAAAGACTTTTCTCTGAAAAGTATAATCTAAAAAAAACCCTAAAACAAAAGGATTTAGTTTTTTCCTGATTTATAACTGCTTTCTGCTCTTATACAAAAAACACAAATTTTTGTATTACTTTACAATATAACTATACTTGAATACATATCAAGTGTTGAGATATTACCCCCTTTAATTCCTATGATGGTGCCCCGAAGGCCAACTGGAACTGAGAAGTTCTCTCTCACATTTACAACACGATCAAAGAGACGAAATTCTGCATCCCGGTCAGGAATGACTCCATGTTGCTGTTCTAAAGGCTGAAGAGAATAAAGCTATTAATCCAATTTTGAAAAAAGTTTTCCTAATACACAGAAAACATTTTTGTTTCTTTCATATGTTCAGAGTAAAAGCAACAACTCTGAATTCTTTGACAGGAAACTTACTCTGTACAGCAAATGGGGCTTCACAGTCACTCGTACCTTCTTATTATTCTTTCTTTGCTGAGGAAAAAGGAAAATTTTAAAAATATTTTAATATAAAATTAAAATCGCTGAACTATTCACTATTTAACATGTTTGAATTTTAGAAAGTCAAATGATATAATTAACTTTAAGTATATTAAAATTTGCAGCTGCAGCAAGGAGGAGTAAAATGAATAAATTTATAATTCATTCATTATAAATGAATATAATTATAAATGAATTCATTATAAATGAATAAAATTATAAAATGCCTATAGTCTAATTCTTATTTTAAAACTTTTTAAAGGACAATTTTTTTGTGGAAGTATAAGACACATAGAAAAATGTAAAATTATAAGCAAAAGTAAATTCAGCAGCCTGATGAATCTTTAAGTCTATCTATGTATAACTATACATAGTTCAAGAAACATTACTAATTGACACATGACTTCAGTTGTCTAAAACAAACAAACAAAAATATTACTAAGCACAACATAAGAAACCCTTCCCACCTCTCCCAGTTACTATCCTCCCAAAAGTAACCTTATTTTTAACATAAAAGATTAGATTTATCTGTTTTGAACTTTTTATAAATGTTATCTTATTCAAATGTTTTTATAAGTGTTATCTTATTCTTTACTCTAAAAAGAATTACATACAATGGTCAACAAAGATTTATACTTAAACGCTGAAAGAAGACTTTTTCCCTTTCTTTGCTACTTGTTAGTTCTGTGAACTCATGCTTACCTAAATAAGCTTCCTTCTATCTGTAAGATGGAAATAATATTACTGCTTATCTTATAAAAATATGAGAATAATTTACATCCATTGCAATCCATAAACTACTATTCTAAGTTTTTTTAAGGTGAATTTTTACCTTATAAGAAAAATTGCAGCAGTTTAATTATAGCAGCCACCTATCTTTAGAACACAGCTTATGGGAATATGTACAAAAGGACACAAAACAACCCCAAGCTACAGAGTCCATAAACTATAGAGTTCATGCATTTATAAACTATAAAATGCTCAAGCCTTTATTTTTTAATATTTATTTATTTATTTATTTATTTTAAGATACTTTATTTTTAAAACAGGTCACAACACTAAGCTTTTGGCCCATTCAGCCATTGTACAAGCTACAAATGCTTGCTCAGCAGCTGAGGGCACTCTTTTGTAGCATGTCTGAAAAGTGAATAAAAATCCATATAAAACAAATATTCAAATAGTTTCCATAAGAACAAAGATAAGTGTGACCCCATCTTCTAGTCTTCCATGTTGCTGCATATGTGCAACCCTACTCTTACAAGACATGTCAAAACTAGCAGTCATTAAGTTAAATGGTCCCCCCAAATCCCTTAATTCAAGCTAAACTCGCAGTTAACAGCTACAAGAATGGTATCTACACATTAATACTAGCTGAAGCATAAGTTGCTGGGTGACATTTCATTCCACTTTCCCAAGCACAAGACACAGGCAGAGTACCGACTACTGCTCTTCTACTTTGGGTGTGAAGTCGGGGTTCTGGATTTGCTGCATGAGTTGCCATGTCGGTTCTGACATCACATAGTAGATAGTAGGCCTCTAGAATCCATTGAAAGTAGAAGCAGCAGCTACAGTGTAAGCACCCATGTTTTCAAAGAGCATCCAGTCACCTATGTGCATTTCAGGCAGGTCACAGCACTCAACAATCTGGTCAAGGCCATCACATGTTGGTCCCCATATGCTGGATGAATAATACTTTTCATCTGGTTTAGGTCTCTTTTGCAGAAGGGGTTTATGTGCACGTGATCATAAAGGATGCAATTAAATGATCCATATACTCCATCATTCATGTAATACATAAAGGTTTGTTCATTGGACTCATCATCTTCATCATCAGAGCCTATCTGTTCTTTTAATACAATTTTTTTGGCAATGATATTAACTGCGAGCGTGAAAGCTAATGCAACATAATATCTGCCTGGCTCAGCTATGATTCTCACTCCAGAGTAGTCTGATGGAAAATACTTGTCCAATGCTGGGTTGATTACACTGGTGATCTCTTCAAATTTAAGCTTCACATCCTCAGATCCAGGAAAGCCACCACCAGTATCAAGCAGATACATGCTAAAACTAACCTCAGCTTCCATGTCAAAGACACAGCGGGCATCAGAGATTGCCTGCACGAAGGTCTCAGGATCAGTACAGCCACTTCCTACGTGGAAGCTGACAATGATGACATCAATATTGAGCTCTTTTGCCCATTCCAAAAGAAGCCTGCTGGTTTTCAGTGTGGCACCAAATTTAACACTGAGTCAACAGGCTGCTTTGGAATCATCAGTGGCAATCTGCAAAACCAACTTTGCCTTGTGATGTGCTCTGGCAACTTTCATCAACTCAACTTCACTATCAAAAGTCATCATCCGGACTCCATTACTGGCAGCATACTTAATTTGAGACACTTGTTTACAAGGAAAATGCTCAAGCCTTTAAACAGCATCTATTTTCTTACATTATGAGACATTTCATTTATTCTTTCAATAAATAAAGTTTCATTTATGTGCCATGTATCGATTGATCTAGGGGCTGGGGATAAAGCAGTGCACTGTTCTTTTATTCTAGTTGGAAGAGATATACAAGAAACAAAATAAGAGGCCGGGCGCTGTGGCTCAGAGGCGGGCGGATTGCTCAAGGTCAGGAGTTCAAAACCAGCCTGAGCAAGAGCGAGACCCCGTCTCTACTATAAATAGAAAGAAATTAATTGGCCAACTGATATATATATATAAAAATTAGCCGGGCATGGTGGCGCATGCCTGTAGTCCCAGCTACTCGGGAGGCTGAGGCAGAAGGATCACTCGAGCCCAGGAGTTTGAGGTTGCTGTGAGCTAGGCTGACGCCATGGCACTCACTCTAGCCTGGACAACAAAGCGAGACTCTGTCTCAAAAAAAAAAAAAAAAAAAAAGAAACAAAATAAGAAAATATATGGCATGTTTAAAGGTGAAAAGCATAGAGAAAAATAAAGCAGGTAAGGGGGATAGCAGTATGGGGAGATATTGCAATTGTAATAGGTTGAACGGTGAAGGCTTTATTAACAAGGTGTAGGTGTCTATGCTCCCAGCCCATAATAGATCAGATAAACTAAGAGAGTACAATTGGTGACCACTGACAACAGCAAAAGGAAGGAATATGAGGAGAGATTTAAAGGAACTTAAAAAATCAGACACAAGAACTGTGCCTGTAGTACCTTAAAAACAACCCATATGCTCTAATAGATCTCTAGGCATTATTACACTATAGCACTGATGAGAGGACATAGCTATCAAAACTGATTCATCAGGCAAATGAATAAGTTGAGTAATTTTCATAATAGTTTCCAACCCATAAGTAATGTATGAGAAGTATGGAGATTGGCTACTCAAAATGTGGTCTCCTGGAAGCTTGTTAGAAATGCAGAATCTTAAGCCTCATCCTAAACCTACTAAACCAGAACTAATATTTTAACAATATTCCCTAGTGATTTGTTTGCACCTTAAAGTTTGAGAAACACTGCTCTAGGGGTGGAAGCCAGAATGTATGTTTTTTAAAAAGCTCCCTCAATAATTTTAATAATTAGCTCAGTTTGGAAACCACTGTCCAATAAGAAAACTGATACTTTTAATGATGATTCTGGATTATAAAGAAAAGTTTAAATTATCTTCAAAAAGTTGTAACTATTTTTTAGATTATTTTCTTTTTATTTATTACCCTAGTAACATTATAACACTAAAAGGTAAAAAAAAAATCACTCATAACTGCACCTTCTTGATACATTAACAGGTTTTTAAAAAATTCCTATTTTATCTATATGCATGCATATTAAAATGTCATAATCAAAATACTACACTACAACTTTGTATGTGTACCTTGCTTGCAAAGTAAGGAGAGAATGTGCAAAACTTTAAGCATCCAAATGGGTTAAAATTTGGAAGCTTAAAGTTTTAAGTGTTTGTTAAATGGAAAACTTACTTCAAAAACAAAAGCAAACAAATAGATTTCACTCTACATTGAAAGACAAAAAGAAATACAGGCTTTCTATCCTCAGCTGTATACCAATGATCTTTCAAAAATTGAACTCTTGGCTCTGAACCATATATTTTTTCCTAGAGAGAAAAAGAATTATCTAGTGAGGATTTTCTAGTCTGTAATCACAGCTCTTTAGTCATTGAAAGGTAGTCTTACTAATAATCAATCTAATGGAGGAAAAGTAAACTAACAAAAAGTAAGGAGAAATAAACTCATAGCACATAATCACCCACTGGAAGAGAAAACTCACAACAAAACTTCCTCCTTTGTTTTGTTTAATTAAAACACCTGTGGCCTAACTCATTATCTCTAAGAGTTTCATTTTCTCAGCCTTGAAGAGCCCTAAGTGGATAGTAGGGGTGTGAACTCCCTCCCCACTCCAGCTCTCTGCCTCAGTTGCTGCCAGAAACACATTTCAAGGACTCAGATAAGCTGGCCTTACAGAGAAAAGAGAAAAATAAAGAGCACCTGCAACAGCTTTGCAGCTGCTTCTGTTATCTGTTTTTTCCCTCAGAAGCAGAAGGGAAACAATGCCATTTTCACCCTATAAAATTCCAAATAGCTTTTCCTCAACTGCCTGGTACTTCCCTTCTTTCCTCTCCCTCCCTTCCTTCCTTTTCTTTCTCTCTCTGTCTCAAAAATAAACTTTTATATATCCTAATCTCTGTGAAAAATCTTTCTTACTAGAGCACCTAGTGAGCTTTCTACCTTTTCAAGTATGTGATAAGAGAATTTAAGTAATTAATATTAACAGCTAAGCATTATTAGGCATTTTAATAATTGCTAGGCATTATTAGGAGTTTACATGTATTAGCTCAGTTAATCTTTTTGATAACCCTATGTGGTAGGTACTATTTTATTCTTGTTTTATCAGTGAGGAAACTAGGTGTGGAAAGGTTAAGTATTTTGCCTAAGTTTATAAGTATTAAAAGAGAAATTCAAACTCAGGGGATGGGGGCTGGGGGGTGGGAGTGGCTTCAGAGTCCAGGTTTTAACTTACTCTAGTATTATTAATAGTTCAAACAACAGAACAACACTATGTTAGCAAAGCAATATAATTTGAATAAAAAGACAAATTTGTGAGGAATAAAATCAAAAGTTAAAAAAAAGCAATATAATTCATCTATTTTCTATTGTACCAAGATAGGGGATCAAAATAGATAAAACAGGTCTACTACAGAAGTTTATTGCTTTAAAAAGCAAGACATAAAATATAGGAGAGATTAAGTGAGATTTCAAAAATTATTAACAGAATGAGTGAATGAGAAAGTACATTTTAGAAGTGATTCTGTAAAAGTGAATTAAATTTTTATGTTCTATGAAAAAATAAGCTGTCTTTAAAGAATATAATTAGAACAGGAAGAAATAGAGGATTAACCTTATTCTTAAACTTTCTACTGTGACTAGAGTCACAAAATATTAATTTTTAAAATTAGAAATACTACAAGGACATAAAATTTAAATGCTATGACTTCTGTATATTAAAGTACCTATATGTTTATTCAGATAAACTTATTAATGGCCACTGGAAATGGTTAGAGCACTTTTTAAAACTACAGGATTGTCTGACACTAATTAGAATCACTGAGCATATATTTTGATTAAAACAAATAAATTATTTGTAAAATAATATACAGTACATTTAACTTCAAATTTCACCAATAATTTTTATTATTGAAAATCAGTACCTTGCACTTTTCCACTTCTTCCTCAATTTTCTCAACAATAGCTGCATCCAGAATTTGTAAATCACAAGAAGAACGAGACAAAGTACTGACAGGATGTCCTTTTAGCCAAGTAATAATTTCTTGCACTTTCTCAGCACTACAGTAAAAACAATAAATTTTTTTTCATATTGATTAAAACTTTGAGGACTTATATAAAAGGCCTAATATAAACCTTTTGGGGGCTGTGAATTATAAAAGACATCAAATTTATATAATTAACAATTACTGAAATTAAGACTGATTATAAATTCAATACAAATATGAATATATTCCCTCTCAGTAATGGAAAAATCACAAAAATTATTTAAAAGATATTTATTGATATAATTGAAATAAAATTTTTCATCTCTTAAAGCAAAAATTAACCAATACAAGAAACAAGGTAAGAAGAAATTCTTGATAAATTAGTTATACCTCTCATTGGAACCACTAAGTTGAACTATGAGGCAATAAATACCACAAATCTAGCTTACCCATTCTCATTTTCTCCAGGCCAGATGTCATCTTCATAGAAAACATCCTCTTGGCTATTTTTGGCTATATAACTGAATAGTTCTGGGGCTCTAGCCAAACAAAGAAAAATATTGCTATAAAATAAATATAGCTAACCTCACATAAATATCCTATGAAATAATTCTGGATCCTAAGGGGACATATAAAGCATATTGAGGGAAAATTATTATAATATTAATAAGGGATAATATTAATAAAGGAGACAGAGTAAAAGATTTGAAAGTCAGAGTATTCCTAGGTCATCAAACAACTCCCACTGGCTGAAGTTCAATTCATAAACTTCTAATAAATTTCAATTACTGACTCTATCATTGTTAATTATGATGTAAGTAATGGACAAAAAATAATATTAGAGGTTCATTTTCTAATTTTCACAAAGAAGCTGGAGCACTCTATAATACAGCTAAGTTTCTTCTGATATTCCTCAAAACTCCGTTTATTTCTGAATAGTACAGAACTTTCAGATACATAGAGCAGATTGAACACATGTGCTAATCTTTGGCTCCTGTCTAATCCAATAAAAGGACAATAAAGTATAAAAAAGGGCATATACCTAAAAAAGGAAAAAGAGGCAGAGAATCTGATGGCATATATAAGTTGTTAACAAAATTTTAGAATTTAGTAACTGGATGGATGAGTGTTAACTGATTTGACAGACAAGAATAAGCTGAATCCTAAACTACCAGTAGGGGAAGTCAAAAAGAAGCAAATTGGTTTGAACCATAGAACTCTGCAAAAGCTCTGGAATTATAGGCTGCAATGTAGGCTGGAGGGTGGAGTGAGGTTTGGTGAGATTTTAGTTGAAAATTTGTATGACAAACAGTTAATGTGTCATGTGGTCACTTGCCTACCCTCTCAGCATAAGACCTGTAGCTCATATCTTATATCTGATATAAGCTTATATCTTGGGGAGGTCAAATAGGAGATGTTCTAGCCTTGAGTATACGAGGCACAAGTAGTTGCAGGTGAGAGAGGCAGAAGGAGTAGAGGACAGGTGTTATATTGAAAACAGGGAATTAATGAAAGCATAAATACTACACAATGTGTTGCTAGGAAGCAGAATGTCTCTAGGGAGCAGACATATAAGCATGCAGGAAGTTTAGCAGGGAGTGCTTATGGCATATCAACACCTGTAGATGAGAAAGTAAAGGAAGGAAGCAGAATTGGGCACAGGGAGAAAGTTGGGCTGTAATTAACTTTTTTTTTTTTTTTTTTGAGACAGAGTCTTGCCTTGTTGCCCAGGCTAGAGTGAGTGCCGTGGCGTCAGCCTAGCTCACAGCAACCTCAAACTCCTGGGCTCAGGCAATCCTGCTGCCTCAGCCTCCTGAGTAGCTGGGACTACAGGCATGTGCCACCATGTCCG